TCGCCTCTTGGGACGCTTTTGGACCGATCTTAAGCGCTCTTGGCGCCGTTTCGGGGGCCTCTTGGGCCCCGCACGGGCCATCTTGAGGCCTCAAAAGCGCATCGAAAGCGAAAAGGCGAGAAGGCAAAAATCATAGATTTTCTATAGGTGTTTGAAGGATTGTGGCCTCTTGGGGGGGTCCTGAGGGGGCTCCGAGAGCACTTGGAACCGTCTTGTGGCCTTCGTCGGGCCTCTTGGAGGTATTTCGCAAGCTATCTTGAAACATCTTCGGCTGTCTTGAGCCGCCTTGGAGGCCATCTTGGAGCACCGGAGGCCCTCTTGGAGCCGTTTTGGGTGAAACAAGACCCTCTGACACATCGCGGCCCGCTTTTAAAAATTCAGGGAGGGGAGTGGGAGGGTACCCCTCCCCGAAGGTAAGAGGGCTTCTGAAGAGGAAAGAAAGACTACGCTAGACCACCTTAGCCCAATGGGGTGGTAGGATTTAGCGATAACTCCTTGTTGCCTTGTCCGACATCATCCTTATAATACTGTTCTTCGTTATGTGTCCGTCATGCTTCCTTTTCCTCTTCTACAGTCTCGTCCTACCCTACAACTTCTTCCCTGTCGTCCTCAGCTCTTTTTGCGGAGGCTCCTCCTGGGAGGGCCTCTCAGGGTCCTCGCGAAAGTTTCAGGGGCCTCTTGGGGCCTTCTGGAGGCCTCCTAGGCGCCTTCTGGGGGCCTTTGGGGGCTTCCCCAGGCCACCCTGCTTCCAACCGCGGTCTCCCTGAACGTTCGGGTCACGATTTGGAATGCTTCGGGGGGCGTCTTAGGGGCCATCTTGGGCCATCATGGAGCTCTCTTCAGGCCATCTTGGGGCCCTGTTGGGCAGTCTCGGGGCTCTTTTGGACTGCCCGAAAGCAATTTCGGATAGTTTTGGGATGACTTTCGGGCCTTCTGGGTGGTCTCGGGCGCCTGGAGACCGAAGAACACAGCATCCCCAAAATCATAAAAAGCCATTGGGAATCACTGCTTTTTTGTGTTTCGAAGGCCTCTTGGGAATCTTCGTTGGGTTGTCTTCGGGCGTCTGGGTGGTGTCTGGGGCCTGTGGGGGCCCTCGGGGGGGCGTTCGGTCGCCCTCCTGACCGATTTGGGTTTGTTGCCTAGGCCGGCAAAGGCTTCGAGGAGCTCTAGAAGACCCATGAGGGCTTTCTGCAGGGGCGTCCAGGGGGCCACCTGGGTCCAGGATCCGGGGGTCCCCGTTTGGGGGGGGAGGGAAGTCCCTCCTGGCTTGTACAAGTTTGGGAAGAGGAATGCATACATACATTTGCATACATTTAGATATACAAGTGGCACGTGTGTGCCCAGGCTCATACAAAAAAAAACTGAAAAGGGCGTTTGAAGCAGGAAGGCACCATGACGGCGGGATCGGAGATGGAGAAGGGGAAGCTGGGGCGGCGCCGCCAGGGCGTGCCTAAGAGAAGGGGAAGAGGAGGAGGATAGCTGCTGGGAGTGACATGCAATAGCGAGGTCGCACTCGAGCGCAAGTGGGGTTGCCACACCTTGCGATGTGTGTACCAGGGCCCCCCAGGAAGCCTGAGGAGGCCCGACTTGGATACCGGAAGAGGCTCCAGGGGGCCCCAGGATTGTGAGTGTTGTGTGGGTGTGTGTGTGTGTGTGTGTGTGATGTGTGTTCTGTGTTGTGCGTGTTTTCTGTGCGTTGTAGGTGTTGTGTGTGCTATGCTTGTCTAGCGTGTGATGTGTTGGATGTGATTTGTGTCTCTGTGTGTGCATGTAGTTCTGAGGCCCCAGGAGGCCCCAGGAGGCCCCAGGCGGCCTCAGGAGGCCCCAGAAGACCCCAGGAGGCTCCAGGAAGCCCCAAGAGGCTCCAGGAGGCCGCAGGAGGCCCCAGGAGGCCCCAGGAGGTTCCAGGAGACTCCCAGGAGGCTCCGAGGCGGGGTCTGGGGTACCAGAAGGTACGGAAAGCTCCAGGAGGCCCGAGGAGGTTCCAGGAGGCTCCCAAGAGGCTCCGAGGCGGGGTCTGGGGTACTAGAAGGTACGTCGGGGCCCGATTTTGGGAGGATGTCTCAGGCGAAACCGCCATTCTCTGAGAATCGGGGTCAAAATCATTGAAATTACAATGTGTGGTTGAAGGTCTTATGTTAAAATGTTGAAATTCCCATGTGTTTTTGGACCCTGACGTCACGATCTGTGTAAGTCGTGCCATCGATTTTCAGAATTTTGAAGACGTCCCTAGCGAAACGGCCAGAAACATCGCGAACGACGCAGCGCGTACGCATTAATCGCCTCTGAGCTCTACTCCCTCGGAGAGGTGCATACGAGAATATGTCTATAGATGAGTGTGTGCATATACAAGTGGCACGTGTGTGCCCAGGCTCATAGAAAAAAAACTGAAAGGGCGTTTGAAGCAGGAAGACACCATGACTGCAGGATCGGAGATAGAGAAGGGAAAGCAGGGGCGTTGCCGCCAGGGCGTGCATAAGAGAAGGGGAAGAGGCAGGAGGTGAACGCAGAAGAATATAAGATCGAGGTCGCACTCGAGCGCAAGTGGGGTTGCCACACCTTGCGATGTGTGTACCAGGGCCCCCCAGGAAGCCTCAGGAGGCCCGACTTGGATACCGGAAGACGCTCCAGGAGGCCCCGGGATTGTGAGTGTTGTGTGTGAGATGTGTGTTCTGTGTTGTGCGTGTTTTCTGTGCGTTGTAGGTGTTGTGTGTGCTATGCTTGTCTAGCGTGTGATGTGTTGGGTGTGATTTGTGTCTCTGTGTGTGCATGTAGTTCTGAGGCCCCAGGAGGCCCCAGGAGGCCCCAGGCGGCCTCAGGAGGCCCCAGAAGACCCCAGGAGGCTCCAGGAGGCCCCAAGAGGCTCCAGGAGGCCGCTGGAGGCCTCAGGAGGGAGACCCCCAGGAGGCTCCGAGGCGGGGTCTGGGGTACCAGAAGGTACAGAAAGCCCCAGGAGGCCCCAGGAGGTTCCAGGAGGCTCCCAAGAGTCTCCGAGGCGGGGTCTGGGGTACTAGAAGGTACGTCGGGGCCCGATTTTGGGAGGATGTCTCAGGCGAAATAGCCATTCTCTGAGAATCGGGGTCAAACTCCTTGGAATTCCAATGTGTTTTCGAAGGTCTTAAGTTAGAATGTTGAAATTCCCATGTGTTTTTGGACCCTGACGTCACGATCTGCGTGAGGGGTGCCACCGATTTTCAGAATGTCGAGGATGTCACTAGCGAAACGGCCAAACAAATCGCGAACGCCGCCTTCAATTAATCGGCTCTGAGCTCTACTCCCTCGGAGAGGTGCGTATGATAATATAAATATATATATATATATACATACATACATACATATATACATATACACACACACGCATATGTGTGTATACACATACACATCTGTATAGAGCAGTGTATACAGAATAATGCATTGGCGCTTCACGTCATGCATCTTGGTCCTTGATGTTTGACATGCAGGCGGAAGGACAGGAAGGTCTTTCCGACATGTTCGTCATAATAGTGTTATCCATTATCCTTCCTTCATGTTTACTTATCCTCGTCCTCATTCTCGCCCTACCCTGCGAATTCTTCCCCATCCTCCTCAGTTCTCTTGGCGGAGGCTCCTCCTTGGAGAGCCTTTTGGGGACCGAACGAATTTTAAGGGCCTCTTGAGGCCTCCTAGGCGCCTTCTGGGAGCCTCTGGGGCTTCCTCGGGCTACCCTGCTTCCAACCGCGGTCTCCCTGAGCGTTCGGGTCTCGATTTGGATTGCTTCGGGGGGCATGCTGGGGCCGACGGGCGGCATAGCGGAACTCGAGCACCCCAAAGGACACCATCGTGTTAGGCGTAATCACACAGGAGAGCCGTGTGCAGTGGAGGAGGAGAAGGAGGAGAAGGAGGAGGAGGAGGAGGAGGAGGAGGAGGAGGTGTCAGATGATCTGAATGACGAGCAGGACAAAGAAGAGGACCAGTGTCAACCAAAGACGCATTAACGAGGTTGCTATCAACCTTCCCTCCAAGTTCCCTCTCTAGAGCTTCCTGCAATGATTGATGATGCGAAATGTCTCATTAGACGGCAGCCGTTTGAGAATCGCCAACCGTGCCAAACCACCGCTCCTTGGAGTTCAACGCCGCGGATCAACATGATTGTTGCGTTTTGAAAATCTTAAGTCGGCCATGACACCATTCCTGGGACTTCACCGCCGCGGATCAACGTGACTGTTGCGTCCTGACAATCCTGAATCGCGCCAGAACGCCATTCTTGGGACTGTACCGCAGCGAATCAACGTGACTGTTGCGTCTTGACAGTCCTAGACCGTGTCAGAACACCATTCCTGGGACTTGGACCAGTCGAAACCTTGAAGCGGCAGTAAAAAGTTAAAGACGAGTGCGTGCGGCGCTGAAGCGAGAGCTACTTTTTGAAACGGAGCTTTTTTTTGCCCTTGAAACTGTTGCAAACATTTGAAACGAATGCGCGCGGCGCTAAGGCGAGAGCCACATTTTGAAAACGGCCCGCCCTCCATCCGCGAAACTGCTACAGAATTTTGAGACAAATGTGCGCAGTGCGAATGCGAGAACCACATTTTGAAAAACACGCGCCCTCCATCCGCAGAGCGGGTTGCATTTTCTGAAGCAGAGAAGGAATGCGCGCGGCGCTAAAGCGATAGCCACATTAAACAAACCTTCCGCCATCCATCTGTGAACCTGCTGCAATTCCTTACGACGAACGCGCGCGGCGCTAAGGCGAAATCTACATGTTGAAAACCACCCGCCCTCCATCCTTGAAGCTGTTGCAAATTTCAAGGTTCGTGATCACAGATGGGGTGCGACAGGCAGGAATCGCGTGCAAGGAAAAGGATTGAAGAAGGAGGAGAACAAGGAGGAATGGGAGGGCAGGAAGGGGGAGGGCGGGGCAGGTGGGAGGAGAGGAAAAGGGGGGCGAGAAGGGGACAGAGTTGGTGGGAGGCGGAAGCGAGGATGCGCGGGCGCCCTACAAAACGCCAGCCTGCGCCGCCGAGGCAAGGGCAGCAGCTCGAGCTCCAGCTGACCCCGCCCAGGACGGCGTTTCTCTTCCCGATCGCCCTCGCCCCCCCCCCCCCCCGGGGTGGCCCAGCGTGCACCAGACGATGGGCCAGCCTGCTGGCAGGTATCCCCACGCCCACAGAGGCCACTGGGCACCTCAGGAAGGTCAATAGGGGAACGAATAATGACATAAACATACAAACTCGGAGGCCCGCGCGGATTTCGCGGATCGGCGCCGGACCCCCCTCCCTGGCGCGCGGAGCGCGCCAGGGGCGGCGCCGGAGGCGCCGCCAGGGGGTTCCCGCGCGGATCCGAGAAATCCGCGCAGACCTCCGAGTTTTTATGGTTACAGTCGGGGCCCTGAAGAGGGAACCCTTTTCGTTGGGGAGGGGCTCGGTGTTCCTTAAAAAGTGTTGTGGAGCCGTTCTGGCCCACCACGCGCCGGCGCGGCACCTTGCCCACGTCCCAGCCCCCAGGCGTGGACGCTCGAGCCTCTCCCGAGCTCCCGCCCTGCGGAGCGGAGCGACACGCTACCCGCTTGCAGGGCATACCGTTTCGCCGGGGCCGCCGCCGCAAGCAAGAGCTCCCGACCGTAGACTTTGGGGGCGCTGCGCGGATCTCTCGGATCGGTGCTGGGTCTCCTTCTTGAAGCAGAACAGCTTTCCACAGCATGCGTGATGCACGTGGCCTCTGATGGGGAGGATGCGGTATCCTGTCGTCTCCCAAGGGCCCTGGCCCGGACGGCACCGCGACGTGCCCGCTCTTCCCAGGTTCTGGCTCCACGAAAAGGATGCGACGCTGCAGCCCCAGAGATCTCGAACCCATCTTGCTCTGGGGTGTTCTGCATCGGGGCCGACCCGCAGTGCTCGCAGCTGCCGCTTGCAGGCCAAGGCAAAGCAACGTTCCCCACTGCCCATCGCAGCTTTCGCCACATATCCAGCGCCGGCCTGCGCGTGCTCGGCTGGCCCCCAGCGCGTTCCACGGCCAGGGGGGTCGGCTCGGCCACACTCGGCCGATCCGTCCCAGACCGCGGGCCCGCATCGGGCAGCCGCTCGGCAGCCCAGCGGTGGCGCAGGAGCCCGAGGCATCCTCCGATCTGATTGTTGCCAACCCGCAATCCCGAGGCTCCCGATCTGTTCCCTGGCGGTAGCTTTAAGTCGGGCGTGTCCCCCTACAGGGGGATTTTCGAAGAAAAGTGAAAAGTACACAATAAATGATCAACAAATTTTCAAAAAATAGGCTGGGGACTATTTTTTTTTAAATATGTTTTGACCATTTTGGGGCCTTTTTGGGGTATTTGTTTTTTTCGTCGAAAATTCCTCTGTAGGGGGACACGCCCGACGTAACGGTGGCTTTCCGCGCCAGATTTGCTCTTGATGGCCCCCAGGCCCGAGAGCGCGCCCCAGAGGCCGAAGTCGAAGAAAGAAAGAGGCTCAGATTGAAACTGCCCCAGCAAAGCACCCGTGTAGCATTATGTCGGGCGTGTCCCCCTACAGGGGGGATTTTCGACGAAAAATATCAAATACCCGAAAAGTACCCCAAAAAGGTCAAGAAATACCCCCAAAGTAATCCCCAGACTATTTTTGGGCTATGTTTTGATTATTTTTCGGGTATTTCTTGTTTTTCGTCGAAAATCCCCCTGTAGGGGGACAGGCCCGACTTACGTGCAGCAGCAGAGCACGGCCATGGTCACTTCTGAGCATCTTTGCACCCTGGATCGTGGGCCTCCGGACCAAAAATGTAGCCAGCATCGATGGGAAGGGAAAAAACGCACAGGCGCAATTCATCGTCGCTTCCCCGAGAATCTGGGAAAATGTGGGAGGTGGGGGGGAATTCGAAAACGCAGGAACCATAGGAAAATATGGGGAATCGTTTTTTTTTTTGTATGTGTGTGTGTGTGTGTGTTTATCCGTGTGTCCCAGGGCCCCTGTCCAAATGGAGGCGAGAGCACGGCTCCCGGATGCATTGCGAGGGGAGCTCGGGCGAAGCGGCTGCCGGACCCGGCGTCCTCGGGCTCTCTCTTCCCGTCCCCCCTTGCTGGACTCCCCGGTGCTTTCTGCCACTGCCGGAACCCTCAGCGAAACGCTAGTCTCGGGGGCGGGCAGACGCCCCAACAGTGGCACGTCGATTGGTGAATTGTCCGTTTTCGGTTCTCGAGAGGGCGCCGCGGCCGTTATGTTCCAGGCCTGCGCCCGCCAGGTTAGGGCCTCAGGTCGTTTTCACTAAACCACGTTTTACTGAAGGGGGGTCTGTCCATCCCCGATAGTCGGAAAACTGATATCGTCGAAGATGCAGCTGTCGGGAACAATCAAGCAGCACGCACGTGCAGCAGATGGTCTGAACTCCCCACCCCTCCCCCCGAAGGCATTGTTGGTCCCGGATCTTCCGAGTTTGAGCGTCCGAGCGGTGATGCGTGACCTTGCCAACTTTGAATTGCGGGGGAGGGGGGGCGTGTTGCTTGTCCAGCTGCCTACGGCAAGTCCCGCCACCGTGCCTGGGCTGTGGGTTATAAACCCAGCGGATGTTCGTTGGAATCTCGTGGGAGGCCTTCCAGGAGCATCTTGGAGGCAGGCTTTAGGCCTTTTGGGGCTTTCGTGGGGCCTTTTCGGGGGCCTCGGGGCCTCTTGGGTTATGATGTTCCAGCCGACTTTTTGGCTTTGACCACCAGAAAGAATTTCGAGCACCAAAAAAAAAACACCAAAACTCGAGGGCTCAGCACTGTTTCGACACTGCTTCGACACCCTCTTGACACTCCTTCGACACTTTTCCTGGGTTTTGGTCCTGAAGTACGATGGGCACAACATAACTCTTGGGGAAGTACTGTTACACTCATATCTTCTGTTAAGAAACTCCCTCCCGCCAAGCTGGGTCTCAACATTTCTTAAAATTCGATAGCGAATTCCCAAAAGCTGGCTCAGTTTCTTAACGCCGGCATCTTCTTACTGATCTTCCTCCAGATCTTCGGGATCTTCTTCCAGATCTTCGTCGAGATCTTCCTCTGGATCTTCCCTCAGATATTCTCCCCGATCTTCTTCTGTATTCTCTCCGAGAGTTTCCCCCAGATCTTCGCCAAATCCTCTCCGAGATCTCCGCCCAGATCTTCCTTCAGATCCTCGCCCAGATCAATCCCTCCTTAGATCTCCCCCCAGATCTTCATAGAGATCTTCCCCTAGATCTTTCCCCTGATCTTCCTTCAGGTTTTCTCCCAGATCTTCCCCTGGATCTTCCCCCAGATCTTGCACCAGATCTTCCTTCAGATTTCCTCTCAGATCTTACTCCCGATCTCCTTCCGGGTCGCCACGCAGCTCTTTCACCAGATCTTCCTCCAGATATTCCTCCAGATCTTCCTCCAGATGTTCCTCCAGATCTTCCTCCAGATCTTCTTCCAGATCTTCCTCCAGATCTTCCTCCAGATCTTCCTCCAGATCTTCGTCCAGATCTTCCTCCAGATCTTCCTCCAGATCTTCCTCTAGATCTTCTTCCAGATCTTCCTCCAGATATTCCTCCAGATCTTCCCCAAGATCTTCCTCCAGAGGTTCTTCGAGATCTTCCTCCAGATCTTCCTCCAGATCTTCCTCCAGATCTTCCTCCAGATCTTCCTCCAGATCTTCCCCCAAATCTCCCTCCAGATCTTCCTCCAGATCTTCCTCCAGATCTTCCTCCAGATCTTCCTCCGGGTCGCAACGCAGCTCTTCCACCAGATCTTCCCCCAGATTTTCTCTCAGATCTCTCTTCTAGATCTTCTCCCAGATCTTCCTCCAGATCTTCCCCTCCCGGCTGTTCCTCCAGATATTCAACGGAAGCCCCTCTTCCAAGGACGGGCCTGTGGGGTGCCATGAACAACAGGCCTTTGGGGTTCCGTGGAGTGCATCGCACAGGCCGGCAATCGTCCGGAGTCGTTCCAGGGCGAAAATTTGGCTGAAGATCTGGCCAGATCCTCTCCTTGAGGCCCGTCCGGATTTTTTCTCGTGATCTTCTTTTGGATGTTCCCCCGATATTCATCCACATCTTCCCTTCGGCTTTCCTCCAGGAGCGGCTTGGAAACATCCGGAGTCGTCTTGGGGCTCTCCTGCGGCCGTCTTGGCGGCCACGGTGGTGACGATGTTGTTGATGATGATGATGCTGATGGTGGTTCTGATGTTGCTTCTGATGCTGATCATGACGGCAACGATGATGATGGCGATGTTGACGATGATGATGGTGATGGTGATGATGATGATGATGATGGTGATTAGTATGATGATGATAGTGATCGCCAGCAAAATGAACAACGCGACCACCAGCAACATGTCCAGCAAAACCACCGGCGCAAGCATTAACAAAGAAAGTTATTCGAAATCTCCGCCAACGCACCAGCACTTTATCCACTGGGTGTTTCCTCCGCCAGCGTGCCAGCAGAATCCCCAGTCAAACCACCATCCGCCTCTCCAGCAAACTAGTGGCAGAAATACCATCGTAACCACCACTACCACGAGTGCGCCATCACCAGCAAAATCGTCACCAGCGAAACCACCATCAAAACGAGCAGCACGACCGACAGCACAGAGACCAGCGCAACCACCAACAGAGCCACCAGCATAACCATCATATCTTCTTCCAGATATTCCTCCAGATCTTCACCAGATCTTCCCTCCAGATCTTCCTCCCAGGTATTCACCCAGATATTCGCCCAGATCTTCCTCCCAGATCTTCCTCCCAGATCTTCCTCTCAGATCTTCATCACAGATCTTCCCCCAGATCTTCCTCCATCATATCCTGTTCCAGATCTTCCCCCCAGCTCTTCACCCAGATCTTCTCCCTGGATTCAATCGGATCTTCATCCAGATCTTCGTCCAGATCTTCCTCCCGATTTTCCTCCAGATCTTCCTCCAGATTTTCCTCCAGATCTTCCTCCAGATTTTCCTCCAGATCTTCCTCCAGATCTTGCTCCGGATCTTCCTCCAGAACTCTTCTTCCAGATCTTCTTCCAGATCTTCCTCCAAAGGTTCCTCGAGATCTTCCTCCATATCTTTCTCCAGATCTTCCTCCAGATCTGTCCAGATATTCTTCCAGATATTCCTCCAGATCTTCCTCCAGATTTTCCTCCAGATCTTCCTCCAGATTTCCCTCCAGATCTTCCTCCAGATCTTCCTCCGGATCTTCCTCCAGAACTCTTCCTCCAGATCTTCCTCCAAAGGTTCCTCGAGATCTTCCTCCAGATATTTCTCCAGATCTTCCTCCAGATCTGTCCAGATATTCTTCCAGATATTCCTCCAGATTTTCCTCCAGATCTTCCTCCAGTTCTTCGTCCAGCTTGCATGATCTTTCTTTAGATATCCCCGCACATCCTCATCAGTATCTTCACACATCTCGTCCGATCTTCCTCCAGATCTTCCTTCTCATGAACCCCAATATCTTCTTTTAGATATTCTTCAATATCTTTTCCCAGATCGTCGTTTCAGATCTTCTCCCCTATCCACTCCCATATTCCTCCAGATCTTCCTCCAGATCTTCCTCCAGATCTTCCTCCAAATCTTCCTCCAGATCTTCCTCCGGATCTTCCTCCAGAACTCTTCCTCCAGATCTTCCTTCAGATTTTCCTCTTGATCTTCCTCCAGATATTTCTTCAGATCTTCCTCCAGATTTTCCTCCAGATCTTCCTCCAGATCTTCCTCCAGATCTTCCCCCAGATCTTCTTCCAGATCTTCCTCCAGATCTTCCTCCAGATCTTCCTCCAGATCTTCCTCCAGATCTTCCTCCAGATATTCCTCCAGATCTTCCTCCAGATGTTCCTCCAGATCTTCCTCCAGATCTTCTTCCAGATCTTCCTCCAGATCTTCCTCCAGATCTTCTTCCAGATCTTCCTCCAGATCTTCCTCCATATCTTCCTCCAGATCTTCCTCCAGATCTTCCTCCAGATCTTCCTCCAGATCTTCCTCCAGATCTTCCTCCAGATCTTCCTCCAGATCTTCATCGAGATCTTCCTCTAGCTTGTTCCCCGTGTGTTCATCCAAATACTCCCCCAGATCTCCCTCCATATGTTCCTGCTGATTTCTCCAGATCTCCCTCCACATCTTCCTCCAGAGTTTCTTACAGAATTGCTCTGGCTGTTTCCCCGGATATTCCCCCAGATCACCGCCCAGATCGTCGCCCAGATCTTGACGTGTTCCTGTATGTTGTTTGCTGCAGAGCCCCCGGCGCCGCAATCGGCGCAATCACCGGCACAATCTTAATCGGAACCACCCACACTGGCGTCGCGCTGCGCTAAGAAATTGCACGCTTCAAAGCTGGCTCTCGCAAGGGGGCTAAGAAATTCAGCGAAGCTGGGTCTCACTTTCTCACTGGAAGATTTCTTAGCAGAAGTTTTGAGTGCACTAAGTACTGCTCCTCTCCTCCTGGGCCCCCGGGGGGGCCCGCAGTCCTCGAGGGGCGCCGTCGGAGCTCGTGGGTCGGGGGCATCTCTCGGGGCCCGGCCTGCGAGCGGGAGGGGGGCGGCAAAGAGGGGGGTGATGACTAGGGGGGGGTGGATGGACATCATGGCGGGGGCCATGATATTTCCCCAGATCTCATGGCGCCTCTTCTTGTCTCATTGCGTCAGTGGTCCCCCCGCTGGGCCGCGCACGTGCCGCCGGCCATGATTTGCGCCCCCCCCTCTTGGACAACCCCCTCGGGGGGGGGGGGGATATCATGGCGGGGGCCATGATATTTCCCCAGATCTCATGGCGCCTCTTCTTGTCTCATTGCGTCAGTGGTCCCCCCGCTGGGCCGCGCACGTGCCGCCGGCCATGATTTGCGCCCCCCCCTCTTGGACAACCCCCTCGGGAACATGGCGGGGGCCATCTTCCCCAGATCTCATGGGGGATTGCGTCAGTGGTCCCCCGATGCCGCCGGCCATGATTGCGCCCCCCCCTTGGACAACCCCCTCGGGGGGGGGGGGGGGGGGGATATCATGGCGGGGGCCATGATATTTCCCCAGATCTCATGGCGCCTCTTCTTGTCTCATTGCGTCAGTGGTCCCCCCGCTGGGCCGCGCACGTGCCGCCGGCCATGATTTGCGCCCCCCCCTCTTGGACAACCCCCTCGGGGGGAGGGGGGATATCATGGCGGGGGCCATGATATTTCCCCAGATCTCATGGCGCCTCTTCTTGTCTCATTGCGTCAGTGGTCCCCCCGCTGGGCCGCGCACGTGCCGCCGGCCATGATTTGCGCCCCCCCCTCTTGGACAACCCCTCGGGGGGAGGGGGATATCATGGCGGGGGCCATGATATTTCCCCAGATCTCATGGCGCCTCTTCTTGTCTCATTGCGTCAGTGGTCCCCCCGCTGGGCCGCGCACGTGCCGCCGGCCATGATTTGCGCCCCCCCCTCTTGGACAACCCCCTCGGGGGGGGGGGATATCATGGCGGGGGCCATGATATTTCCCCAGATCTCATGGCGCCTCTTCTTGTCTCATTGCGTCAGTGGTCCCCCCGCTGGGCCGCGCACGTGCCGCCGGCCATGATTTGCGCCCCCCCCTCTTGGACAACCCCCTCTTGGCCGCTCCCAACAGCAGGGGGGGGTCCGACGCGAGAGCTCCACGGGCATCAGCCGAAGACGAACAGACTGCGTCGTGGAGGGCGATCGCTGGAGGGGAAGCGTGTTGCCAAGTAGTTTCCAGATGTCAACAACATGTGTCAAGCATATTCTGAGCATGTCAAGAACATGCTTAAAACATGCTTAGAACACTTTCCCGGCATTTCAAACACATTGTAGATTCAACGATAGGACTGTTAGCTTGTCCATGGTCGTGGCATCCCGAAAGAGTTCGAGGAGGGGACCGACCACACAATTGAGTTACCCCAGAATTGATCTCCTCGCCGAACCCGCGAAGGATACGCTAGAATGTCGCGTCGATCTGCGGAGGCATCTGCGCAAGCGTCCTGGATCTCGACCAGACAACCAAGCCTGGGGCAAAGCAATGATGCATTCGATCCCCCACTCTTAAGTTTTTAGCAGCATAAACTCTCGGAGCCCCGCGCGGATTTCTCGGATCGGCGCTGGGCACCCTTGGCGGCGCCTCCGGCGCCGACACTGGCGCGCCCCGCGCGCCAGGTAAAGGGGCCCAGCGCCGATCCAGTAAATCCGCGCGGGGCTCCGAAAGTTTAGGTTTTGCTGGTCTTTCTTCCTCTCATCGGGATCCAGGTCGATCTCAGACTCGTTACGTCAAAGCCTGGCCAGCAAGCGTGGCCGCTCGCAGTTTGCCCTTCGAGGGCAACCAACCCTTCCCTCCACCTGCTGGTGGTCCAGGCCTTGCCAATTTAGACTCGGTGTGATCCCCAAGTGCCTCGCAGCTGTCGCCGCCCCTCGGTGCCGTTGCCCACTGTCCCAAGTTCCTGCTGCACCCAGGGCGGCGCGTTGCGACGCGGTTGAGCGGCCCTCGTACGGCGTGGACTCCGGTGGACCCCAAAAGCGTGCGCATCTTTGCGCATGCACATTTGTCTGCCTGCTTGCGCGCATGCGCGCACGAATGAGCTAACGTTTATGTGTGCGCGGGTCTGCACTATCAGTCGGCGGCCGACTGTCGGCATCTTCTCTGTCGGTAAGCTCTTCGGAGTGGTTGATCGACCAAGAGATGATTCGGCCCCCGGCCCCCGGCACGAGGACATACCAGCATCGTCGACCCCACGCAAAAGATCTGAGCCTGGCGCCAAGAGATTTATTGTATTAGGGAGGCCTGCATGAAAAAGAGCGAGATGGCAAAGGGTACCTCGGGCTGAGCGCTCTCTGCCTGTTCTTCGAAGCGGGCCTGAGTTGCCATCATACCCCAAGGGGTGTGTTCGATGCAGCTAACTCACGGCTTTGTTCGATGGTTTGTTGCCGTTCTCGGGTGTGGTTCGCTGGTTGAGGAGCCGAGGAATGTGTGGTCTCAGCTTGAGTTCCCCCATTACAGTATCGCAGACGAAATATGTGTTGGTGGTTGTTGCCATGGCAGGCATCAGGAACTCTGCGATGCCACCTATCCTGCGCAGCTCCCATTCTATCCTATTCTGAATCCTTCCTTTCTCAGCACTGGTATGCGCATCTTCTCGCGGGAGTTGACTATATAGCTTCTCACACGTGAGTACATTATGCTGCGTACCGCAAGCCCGTCTCAGCACTATGAATATGATCCCTCTTGCTACTATTATTGCAGATCTTATGTTCGCTGGTCTCTTTGGTTGGCTCTTCTTCTGGCTTCTACTTCAGGCCGCTCTTGGTGCTACACGCTTGCGGCGGGCAGTCTTCACGAAGGGGGCTCGCACGGCTCGAGGTCGTATCCGATCGTATCCGCGTGTTGCCAGCCCTGGCGCGGGACACGGACGGTGGGCAGACCTGGCGGTCAAGGTCCAGAGCCCGTGCCCCCCCCTGTGCCCCCGTGCCCGGGACACGTGCCGAGCAGAGCTCGGGCCAGACCAGGGCCCTTCTCTTCTTGCGTGCGATCGACCAGACGTGAGAGTGACCTTACGCAGGAGTGACCTCTGGTGCGGGCACAGGTGGGCCCCAGATGGCTCGAAAAGGAAACAGCAGCAGATGCCTGCGCGCCCAGGTTTGGTCCCCCCGCGGCCCCCCGAAAAGCCGCGCACCACACGGTAGAGGGAAACAATTAATGAGCACCCCCCTTGCCCCCCAAATTCAAGGTTGGCACGCGCGGGGGAGACTGCGGTCGAGGTGCAACTCATCAACTTTGAACATCGGGGGGAGGGGGAGGCTTTCACAGATGAATGTGGCATGAGTGTTCGCTATTTTTTCCGAGGCCTGCAGGCCGCTCTTACCTAGGGCCATTCTTGCGTGGCCCGTCTGTGGGCCACCGTGAGCGTCGTGGACCGCTCGTTGGGGATCCAGAACCATGTCGAGGCCACCACAGGAGTCCCTGCACGATTTTTCCCGAGATGTTGCACGATTTTCGGGACGGATGACCCCTCCGGCCCCACCCGGGGATTTCCGGACTCCCCCCCCCCCCCCCCTCCAAATCGACCGGACCGGGCCCCCGGGGGAGGGGTTTGGGGAGGGGGAACATCTCACACGCCGATGAACCCCAAGGGGTCGGCGGATTCTCTGAGGCTTTTACATGGGCACATGGCCCGTGCGCTTCTCCGGAGCACTTCGGGCCCCCCTTGATTATTGGTCCTGTTATGTCAAAGATGGGCCGGAAACTATCCCGCATGGGGCGGGATGCATGTTCGCGCGGAGAAAATCCTAGTCCGCCCACTCCGCCTACTCCGCCAGTCGGTAGCCACCCTGCACGCAAGCCACGTGAAACTTTTGGCGCGGCGATGTAGCTATGCACATATGAGGATGCCCGCCTCGAGTGGCTTTGTTGTTTTCGGGTGGTGACCTTTCCGTGGAGCCTGTGAGAGGCGCGGCCAGCCGTCTCGGGGCGTTCTTGGGGTCTTGAGGCCATCGCGGTCCAAGTTAGTTAGCTGGCACCAGTATTGGGTTATAGTTGGGCAACACTGGGGCCTAGTGCGCGAGTCTTGGACGCTCGACATATTGGCGGCCCCAGGGAAGGAGGGGATGTTCTGGAGCAGCGAACCGTTCAAAACCATACACGCCCAGCTGGTCACCAGAACCGACGCGACAATTTGTTGCCACAGGGCCGTCATGAGTAGCGTGGCCATTGCGAGGCTGATGTTTGGAGTCGCGCGCGTTGTTGTGTCATGCCTGGAAGGCCCACTGTGCAGCGTGCTGTCGCGAGGCCTCGCGGCTCGAAAGACCCGAGCGATCCCAGAGGCAGTCGCCTGAAACGTTCTCCCAGATCCCGCCCTCCCCTCCGCTGCTCCCCCCTCTGCATCTCACTTACCATGTCCCGTCCCTCCCACCCCCTCCTCGCCCCTCTTCTCCCCGCTTCGGGATGGGGAGGAGATGGATGAGGAGGAGCGGGGAGGAGACGGGGAGATGGATCCTGATCCATCTCCTCCTCATCCATCTCCTCCTCATCCATCTCCTCCTCCATCTCCTCCTCCCGCCCCTCCTCGTCCATCTCCGCTTCTTCCTTCCCCGTGCCCCTCCCCTCCCCTCCTCATCCATCTCCTCCCCGCTTTGGTCAGCCCTGGCACTGCGCGGCGGTCCGTGCGCTGCGCCCTTTCTCCATATGCACACCACAGTGAGAACGAGTCTCCTGTCTCTCCCCTGGTGCTGCTCTTGTTTGCGACGCCTGTTCCGTATACGTGTTTTGCACAGGATTGTCCCGAGTCGGTTTTCGATATGGCATCTCGCGCAAGCACGTGCTCGACATTTCAGCAGCTGTGTTCCCTCTCACTGTTAACGGCCACTTGCTATTCAGAAAGCATCCGTCCCAAGGAACGACGCTCTCGCCGTAGCGCTGGCCGCACTTCGATTGGGGTACTTGCCTCCTCTTTCCTCCCCCCTATGCTGCTTTTGTTGCTTTACCATCTGCCTTCGCCTTCCTCCCCTTGCTTTCCTTCCGGTCTCGTCGCCCTCAGCCCAACGTTCGCCCTGCGCCCGTCATCCCCATACCCCCCCCCCAGAAAAAAAAGGGATCTCCAGATCTTAAGTTGTTTCTGCTTATTCGTCGTCCGCCTGTGTGTTTCCTCTCCTTCTTCTGCTGATTCTGAAGTATTCCTCTTCTTCCCCCCCCGTCCTCTTCTTCTGTCTTATCATTTCCCCTCGTCCTCCTCGTCTCATGATTTCTCTTACTCTCATCCCCCCCCGTCCCCCCGCAAGAGACGCCGGGGCAGGAGCCGCGCCAGGCTCGCATTGGGCGGCGGCGGTCGAGCTCTGAGAGGGGCCGCGCGCGCGCCTGCCGCAGTCGCGCCGCGCGCTCCGCCGCCGAGGATACAATGGCTGCCCCCTCTCCGCGTGCTGTGTCCTCGGGGTGGCGAAGGTCGCCGTTCGCATCGCGGCCCCTCCTCGCCTCTCTCACCTCCAGCTGCTCCACGTGGGTGCTGCTCTCCTCTCTCCTCGGAAAGCGGCCGCAGAGAGGAGCAGCCGCTTCCCCGTGCTGTCTGCGACGCCGGACATCAAAGGCTTGCATTTCCTATATATATATATATATCAATCAATGGGAATGTCTTCAGTGTCCCAAAGCATAACAAAACGATGCTGCCGCTGCACCATGGGCCTCATGTTAGGATCGGCGCTTTGCTCCCATCGTTCGGAATGGCGCTCTCGCCCCAGCGCGGGCAGCCTTTCTGGATCCGAGTGGTTCCTCGTCCTTGTCGCCCCGCTCCTTTCCTCTCGCCAACCGTGCCCTGGTGACCAGCTCCTGCTGCTGTCCCTCTTTGCACTCTTTCCTCATCCTCCCTTCCCTCTTGCTCATCCTCCCGACCATCCGCCACCTCCTCCAACGCACGCAGCGCGCCTAGCTTGCCCCTTCCCTCTCTCCTGTCGCCCCTCTCCTCACTTGAGACTTGCACTCGAGGGAGTTTAGGAGGCCAGCGACCCCGCTCCTTCCCCACTCCCGTGTCTGGCTGTGGTGCTGGTGGGGTGGGCGGAGAAGGCGAGGCGAGGCGAGGACGAAGACGACGAGGACTACGGCGGCACCACAGCCAGACACGCGAGCGGGAAAGGAGCGGGGTCGCTGGTCTCCCCGGCGTCCCCGGGCCAGCAGGAGAGAAAAGGCCAAGGAAGACCAGGCCGCCCTCGGCCGCACCGCCGCGGGAGGGGACAGAGGAGGGAGAAGGAGAGGAAGGAAGAGAGGGAGGAGAGTGATGAGAATGAGGAGGACGAGCGGGAGGGGGGGGGGAGGGAGGGGGCAGGCGGGGGTGGGTGGGTTGGGGGGCGGGGGGGCAAAAGAGGAAGCGCAGCACACCCCGCTCATATGCTGTGGTGTACGGTCGGGGAGGTTTGGCTCAGCGTGTTGCACCGCTTGTTCTGGCCCACCGCGCTCCGGCACGACACGCCGAGCACGTCCCTGTCCCCGAGCGTCACCTTGCAGAGCTTTTCCCAGCCTCCCGCGGAGCGGAGCGCCACGCTATCCTGCTCGCAGGGTATAGCGTGCCGACGGGGCCGCCGCCACGGCACGCTATAAACAAAAGTTCCCACGCGCAGCTTGGAACCATGAAGAACATGAAGGTGAAGCCGAAAAACCCGTGAATCAAACCAGTCACGAAGAAATAGATTTTGATCTGCTCTGGAGGCTCGCCGTCTTCGTGCCCACTACAGATCCATGACATAGAGATTCACGCGGCAGGCACACCATGAGTTCACTACGTCGGCCAGCTCATCGATGCACCGTGATATAGGGTCAGGAACTCTGGCTTAGCGTGCCGCGCCGCCGGCTTTGGCCCACCACGCTTCGGCGCGACACGCTATCCTCAGGAGGGGGACAACACACACAGACACAATTAATCGTCGACTCCCAGGCAAATATGGGAAACTGTGGGAAGTGGGAGGGCAGACGAGAATCCCAAAATATACTTCTATGGGAAAGTATGGGGAGTCCGGCCATGTGTGTGTATTTATTTGCGTGTCCTTGGGCCCCTTTAAAACAGGGCTAGGATCGGGATACATCGCTCCAGAGCGTTCCGGAGCGCTCTCCGAGCGTTCCGGAACGCTCTGGAGCGGCCGCGGCGCCCAATACATCCTCCAAACCCGCCGATTCTCAGAGAGTTCGAGCTATCCCGATCCGATTTTGTCCCGATCTTCGCGTCGTTTTATACGAGGCCGATGTGGCTTCACAGCAGCCATTCGGCCCCTGACTTTCGTCCTGGGTTCGGTTTAGTGAAGTGATGGATTTCGGGGTCCTCACGTGGGAAAAAACATCACTTCACTAATATGGGGCCCCTGGGGCCTCAGTGGGCCCTGGGGCCCAAAATTTGTGAAGTGATGATTTTCGGGCCTCGGATTTTAGATGCTCCTCCAAACCCGCCGATTTTATCCCGATCTTCGCGTCGTTTTACCCTTGACATCCACATGCCCCCCGTCCCTGGGGGCGCCAGCGCCCCGAGCCGCTCCCAGGCCGCCCCGCCGCTCGCGGAGCGGAGCGACCGACGCCCTCCGCCCGCCCTCGCGG